GTAGTTGGGGGGAGGAAGCGTTTAAGAACCAGAGGAAGGTTGTGGGTTTCATTATTGCTATACTGTACCCTAAGTGACTCATCTCCCCACTACCCCTTTGGAAGGTATGTCCAATTGTCTATATGTGCCCTTTTTCAATCGGGATTTTTCTGTAGAATCTTTGATCACACCTGTGCCCTTTTCAAATTGCTCCCAGAGGTAACTACTGTTTTGATTATTACCATTAGATTTGTATACCTTTGAAATTTATATACATTAAATCATAAGCTCTCATTTGTGTCTGGCTTCTTAATGATCCATACCATAGGTTCCCATACTTATGTGGCCTACATCCCTCTTTTTAGGAATCAAAAATACAACCAGTGCTCCCTGGCATGAAAGACGTTTGTATTATAGCCCATAATCCAGGGTAAAGTGTAGGCATCTGCTTTTGCAGCCGTCTGGATTGTTCCACACCCCAGGCAGCAACATCACCCGCAATGGGAAACTGATCCACGTACTGCTTTTGAAATCATTCATGCGATTATGCTTGTTATTAGTTACTTTTCATTGCTGGCTTATATTTCACTGCATGACTATTCCACAGTTTAGTCTACTCTTAATGGACAACGAAAGTGTTTCCAGTTTGGAACTATTATGCATAAAACTGCTATAAACATTTTAATACATGGCTTTTTGTGAATATATGCTTTTGCTTCTTTTAAACATAAATCTTGGTAGTGGAACTGCTGACTAATAGAATGGATGTGTGCTTAACTATTAGAAATGACCAAGGTGTTCTCCTAATTGGTTACACCATTTTGTTAATGATAATGATTAGCTTTTTATGTGTTTATTGGTCATTTGCATAACTTATATAATGTAGTTGTCCAAATCGTTTGTCTTTTAATTGAGATGTTTATTTATTTAAAATATTTGTCATATTTTGATTTACCTTGTGAATATACATATTCCCTCTTCCTAGCTTGTGACTTGCCTTTCTCAACTGAGGGAATTGTAACGGCTTTCTCATATTTTCTCTTTTTAGTCTTATAGTTTACATTTAGTTGTATGAGCTATAATTTTTGTGTATGATGTGAGATAGGAATCAATGTATATAAATATTTTCTTTTCTTCTTTTTAAAAAATTAAAAGATCATTTTATTGGGGACTCTTACAGCTCTTATAACAATCCATAGATCAATTGTATTAAGCATATTTGTACATATGTTGCCATCATTTTCTAAGCATTTACTTCTATTGAACCCTTAGCATCAGCTCCTCTTTTTTCCCTCCCTCCCCCTCTGCCCTCACAACCCTTGATAGATTATAAATTATTATTATTTTCATATCTTACACTGACTGCTGTCTCCCTTCCCCCATGGTTTCTATTGTTAGTCCCCCTGGGTTGGAGGTGGGGGTTATGTGTTGATCATTGGGATCGGTGCCCTCTTCCTCCCCTACTCTCCCCACCTTCCCCCTACCCTCCTGGTATAGCTACTTCCATTCCTGTTCCTGGATTCTGTGTGTCATGAGCTCTTATCTGTGAGAGTATATTTCTTCAATATGTTTAATGCATATGCGGTTGTTCTAGTACCATTTCCTGAAAAGACATATTTCCATATTGAATTACACTGGTAATTTGTTGAAAATCAATGAACTACACACACACACACATTTATTTGTAGACTCTAGTCTACAATAGGGTAAGGTGCTCTAATGACCTGGATTAATCTCCTGGCTGCTAACTACAAGACTGGTAGTTCAAACCCACCAGTCGCTCTCCAGAAGAAAGATGTGGCAACTTGCATCAGTAAAGATTACGGCCTGGGAACCCAGTGGGACAGTTCTACTGTGCCCCAACTAAGCCACAGTGGTTTGGTTTTGGGCTTATTCTGTTCCATACCCACTTGTCTATTCGTATGCCAACCCGCAGTCTCAATTACTATCCCTGTCGCCCACAGCGAAACCAAAGTCACTGTGGTCAAGTTGATGGCAGCGCACACCGCTCCTGTCGTCAGTCTTCAAATTTGGTAGTGTTAACCCCCCAAAGTCGTTCATTTTCTTCCGAGCAAAATGAGGACAGAGTCCAGAAATACATCTACACAGATATGCTCAACAAAAGTGCCAAGATAATTTAGTGAAGGAGAAGATATTATTTTCAATAAATGTCACTTGAACAAATGGACATTTCCTATTGAGG